TACCTTAATTTCCTCTTATTACGTTCAAAAGTCAGACGCAATTCGTACTCAGTACTCTAAAGTGGGCGGAATTCCTGATTTTACTCCTTATTGCAGTCGCCTTTTCTTCACTTCCCTTTGTCACTCATGAGCCGCTCCTTGGTGATGTCGATAATTTCGCGTACTGTCTTGGCAGATTTGGAAATTCATTAAAGATATCAAAACAAAGACGCTTGGAGCCATGACAATTGTTCATCAGCATCATTAAGGAGCGGCTCAGTAGGGACAAAGGAAAGTCAAGAAAAAGTGTTTGTAGTCAAAGGAGTCAAACCTGGAATCGGTTTCCCTGACGCTGTGACCAAGTTGCGAAAACAAGGTCGAACCAATTTCTATCTTTAGCCTGTAGTTGTGATGGGACTGGAAATTAAGTATTTTCCCGGCATTTTACTTCTTCCTGAATAATTTCCTTTCATCATTCCATTAGAGTGAATAGCTTCAGCATCAAAGAAAGGTTACTGTTTACCTTCCTCCACTTACACCGTGAATTAAATTTTTTCATTAATCTGGTTTATAAACTTCAGAAAATCTTCCAATTTTTCTCTTCATGTGACCAAAGCGCGAAGTATTCGTTCAGATGCCACATGAGGCCTGCTGATTGTAGCAGTAACACCTTGAAGGTCTCTTCTAATTTGTTCATGCCTAGGTTTGCTGAAATAGGTGAGAGCGGCGATACCATGGGAAGTCTAAATATTTGTTAATAGATGGTCCCGTTGTATGTAAAATAGGTTGTCCTTATTGTCAAATTGATTAGTCGTGTTATCGACTTTCCCCTGCTCAACTACTACTTGAACGAATTCATAAGCATTTCTTATTATAAACAGCCATACCTAGAAGATTTGCTTTGTTTATTTACTGGTATTTTGTTATGTTTTATACGTCATGCTATCCATATTATTGACAATTTTGAGTGGGACGAGTTCTTTATTGATCTTGGGCAAATCATATGCATTCTGGAGCCTGGTATCTTGTTGAAAAAGTGTGTTGATTGTCTACTTCTCCAATTCCACGTTTCTTTCGCATTGCTGTAAGCAATCCCTGAGTATAGACTTCAGGGTTTTATGGGGTCCTTATTGATAATTTTCAATATTAGCAAAAGAGAAGTAGTGGTGGTCATAGTGAAGGTTAGTTATGTAGAAAAGTTGATGCAAGCAATACGTTAACACAAGATTATTGTAAAGACCTTACAGAAATCCTGACGTCTAGACTCAGGTGTTGTTTAACTAAGGGGGAGTTGGAGAAGGGGAAAATGGACACACTTCTTCAACGAGATGCCATGCCCCTGAATACATACGGTCTATCCAAGATTCAGAAAGGGGGAGTCCCACTCTGAATGGCATTGTCTGATGCTTTGACGATGTCCGTCACATAATGGACGAAAGCTTAGCAAGGATTCATCGGAGACGCTGGACGGTAAGCCGAGGACTTATTCTCATAATTCTACAGTCACAGCTCCAAGGTGACCCCATTTCGACTTCGGATGGGACTAACTTACTTATTCCTTCCACTCCCTGATTCAAACTATATGAAACACACTCCAACCTAAATCTATTAAGAGATTCTTCAAACAACAGTTTTTCTAAATATCTCGTTTGCTTTTCTCTATAATCAATCCCGGATGAGAATGCTTTTTTGCCTAGATACTGTGCCGATCTTGGGATCCTTTTATTTCATTTGTAAAAAAATTCATCTCTTAAATTCACATCATCTTATGTGGCTCAAAGTGAATAAATTAATTTTGATAATATTAAGACATCATTCATATTAGTGTAAGTAACATCTTTAATTGCAATAGTAGGATCAAATTTGCTTTAGCAGAATTAATTTTGCCATAAATTTGAATTGTAGTTGCCTGACTCACTGTGGATCTTACAACTGCTCTTCGACTCATCTGTAGTGGTGTGGCATTGTAAATTTTCGCCAATACACTCACGACCGGGCGTGCTGACTATACGTAGATGAGGTCTGAATTACAGACAGCCCAAATATGAAAGCCTTTTAGGAGGCAAGGTTAAGCCAACCTTAATGGGACCGTTAGGCCTCATCATTTCCTTCCAACCTGATTATTTTTAGTCTAGAAAAGTTCTATGCGCTTTTCCCTTAATCATCAATCATGCAATACGTATTTAACGAGAAAAACTTAGCATTACTATAACCGTAGCTACAACTTTCTTGGTAGAAAGACGCCTTTTAATGCGCAATTAATTGCTTGCCACTTTTCCGCACCATACTTAAATGTAATATCATCAATATGCTATAACAGCCTCTTTCCTTAACTGATACCCCGTGAACAATTTTTACGCTACTCCAGCCTCGCAATCTATCCTGGGCCAGATCACCTGCCCTACTATTCTTCTCCATAATAGTCATAGCGCGTCGTTTCTTCTTGCTAGTTTTCTACTGGAGCTGCTTCTTTAAACTGCACATCTACATCATTAAAAAAATTGGTTGGAACTTTGAGGACAATAAATGCATACAACCAGCGTCAAAATCAAAACAAAATACTCTAGCGACCGTATTCTTAAGGGATAGACATGCCTTGTATCGGCTAAAGGCACTCTGTCAACATCACAATACTTAATTATTGAACGATTTATAATGTTGATAAGTATGTTTTCGAGACTACCAGCTCTTGTTTATAATGCTCTATTTTTCAAGTTATCCCTTATTATCATTTCCCCTTATTTGGCTCTTCGAGTTTTCTAATTTTCCTCTCCTCGTTTTTGCCTTTCAACAGACGCGCACCAAAGCGGGATTTCAGGTTTACTTAGATGCCTTAATATTATGTAACCCGAAACGTTCATACCTCTTTTCTTAGCACAAGTAGTCAACTCCGCTCCAGTCAACGCCTTGCTGCGGCCTCAAACCACTTTAGCATTCGTGAAGAAGAATTGGATCCAGAACTCACTATCACTTCTTCGGTTAGCTCATCTACTCCCTCATTTCCACCTGGTCTTTCCGGCATCTCTGAGGTTCCTGTCTCAGATTTCCTTGAAGGCGTTCAAAGTGAGCGTCGTTCTCTGGACTCCAACACTCCCCACATTTGCTGCTTCAGCGGAGTTCAAACATCAAATCGAAGCCGCTTAAAACGCCCTGTCTCACTCCCTGGATCTGCGGATGCTGGTATATTTGTCTCATCAGCCTCATCAACCGCCTCGACAACTTCTACCTCCAGTTCACCTTCCACCTCATCTCCGAGTCGAGGAGGTCCCTCTGCCCCAGTAACTATTGAATCAGACTTATCCAGTTCTCGCCATATACAAGCATCACACATGTTCGGCGAGGAAATAGTACCTCATACAGATCAAAATACTACGATTACTGTCTCAAGTGCAGAAGCCACAACTCTCGCTAAAGGCTCATCGGAACTCAAGCTTTTTCCCGGGGTGTCAGGCCGACGAGGTGAGATTGAATCAGAGGCTGGTGATGGAACGCGATTACTTTCTACCCCAAGTTCCTCCAACTCCGGTGACTCCTTGCTGTTGGCTAAACCAGACCAGAGTGAGACAATAATTTATTCGAATTACTGGCCCATGGAATAGATTGGCCATGTTTATTGAACTTTTCATCCACAATCAATTTATTGGCATCACTTATCTCCTGGCAAAGGACATTTGGTCATGGTATTAAGCAAGAGTAAACTGAAAAGGTGCTATCGAATTCTATCTCGAGGAGATTGGCAGTGCACAAAACGTATGGCGATAATTTGGTCTGTATGATTTCATAGGAGGGCTACATTAAGTTATTCTGTAGATGTGTAGCATAGCCTAGGACAATTAAGGAGCAACAAAATTACAAGATTACCTCACGTTATGAGCTGAGATATAACGATTAAACGGCACTCTTATCTAGGATAAAAACATCTTCTGTACGTGACGCAACTGCTCCATGGCTGGTCGCACATGTGCGTTTCCGTGGCCAGTCTTTCGGACGGGGGGGGGTACAGAAAGATTGGTTGCCAGTCCGCCCACTTTAGAGTACTGAGTACGAATTGCGTCTGACTTTTGAACGTAATAAGAGGAAATTAAGGTA